AGCAGATTCCCAGCAATGGAAGAGATGATCTGCATAATTTTGACCAAAATGGATTTCCTTTTACGTGTATGAACTCCTCTGGTAAGTGTCAGCTTATGTCAGTCAGCTCTTTGCCTCTATCTCTGGTTCAATTCGGCAATCTCTCTCTTTGTTGGCAGGCTACAGCCTATCCCAGGACATACAGTCGGGGGGGAGTGGGAATTGCCCCCCTCCCTGTCCCGTTCCAGTTGGGATCTATGAGCGCTGCCTCAATCAGATCTGCTCTCTGTAGACTTGAGACACCTTTGGTCCACTGCACCTGAGAGCAGCAGCGCAGGAACGACGTGAAAGCATGGGCCTTTGAGGAAGTGCAGCTCTGAATGAAGACTCTTTAAAGAGAGCTGTGTGAGGCAAGGTCCTCTGAGAGATTCCTCGAGCAGTGCATCAAAAATCAGAGAAACTCCTCAGATCGGGCACTGATGATGATGATGGTGATGTTACAGCCTTATGTTTTGATGTTAAATAGACACTGTAATTTTCTCTTTGAGTGTGCATGGAGAATGTTGAGGAGAGATGCTGTTTACATTGAATTGGTAACATGACATTTCTTTGTTTTGTATTTTTAAGCAGCATATTCTGTCTCATTATATGTGATGTTAGTATCACATCATATGATGTACCATTTTGCCTTCTTTCTTAATTAAATTAGTGAAAATCTAAGAAAAAAGAGCATCCCACTGTTTTTATCTGTCTGTCCAGGTTTTTCCAGGTGTTTTGACCTTGAAATGATCGTCTGCAGGCTAAAAGAAGAAACTACTACTAGAAGAAGGCTGCCATCTTGTGGTTAACTCTAATATAACGCCTTAAAAGTTTGTCCCTTTTTTTCTAGTCCAACGGTAGTTTAGGTTTCCTTTTGGTTAAAAACCAGCTCTTGTTATTGTATTATTCTTCAGTTAAGTTAAGCTGTTTTTCAGCTCTTGGTGCGATTTTAAAAAACGATTAATACCTTTAACTTGCTCACTGGGGGCTTTAAAACTATTAGGCTAAGCGCGATTTTCTGTTGCTATGAAACAACAAAGATTATGAAAAGCACTATACAAGTAAAAACACAAATTTCAGTGTCGTGAACAAGTAGCTAAACGACAGCTCTCTTAAAAAGGTAAATAATATACAAAAATGCAGTCTATTTGCGATTGTAAAATCAAGTGATCCATTACTACCACAATGTACATAATGTTGCTATGCGAGTTCTTTAGCAAAGTGGTTTGTGGACTTTTATCTAACTTTTGGGGAAACTGGAACGTTGTTTAAAAATGCTGTTGAAATTAACATCCTATATATATATATATATATATATAGGCCTATGTAAAATGAATATACAGTTTTAAGAGTCTCCCCTCCCTAACATTCAAGTCATTAGGAGATCAGACCCCACAGAAGGCCTATGAAGTGAATGGAGGTCTGCCTTAGTGCCTTGCCAGGTAAGTTTCTTTCCCTCGCTGTATTCACTCACACACTTTCCCTCTGCATCACACACACACAGGACGCAGAATTTCCACATTCCAGCCGGTGTTGTGTCTATCAGGACACGCCCAGCGCGCACACACACACACACACACACACACACACACACAGACTGTACAGTAGAGAGCGATGGTACTGCTGCTCTAAGCGCTTTGTGTTGCGGTGATCTGAATGAATGACAGCTCCACCAACAGCTCACAATGATGACTCCTGAAGGTAAGCGGCACTTTTAACACTTTACTGTTGTTCTGGTACGATTGCGTCCATTGTATGAATTTGAATAAACTTAAAATTGCTTCGTTAAAAAACTTTGTACATGAAGAGAGCACTAGAGATGACTAGTTTATGAATAATAAATGTCTTGACCGTTTCTGCTTTGCAGTCATAAAATCGGCCTGTGTTTTGTATTGATTTATTGTTGTTTTATGTTGTTAAGCAGACGCATTGGCTCGAGTAAAATAAAAGATCCGCTATCTGAGAGGAAACTGCTGGAACTGGGTGTAACAGAGCACATTGTTCTGCCGTGAGATCATAGGATAGGTTTGATCATACCCATCGCTTTAAACCATTAGAAAAACTTTCTAGTATGCATATCATATAACATGCCCCCCTTTCCTGACTGTTTAGTTGGAACAAACCTGGCTCCAATTGAATTAGTGAAAATCTAAGAAAAAAGAGCATCCCACTGTTTTTATCTGTCTGTCCAGGTTTTTCCAGGTGTTTTGACCTTGAAATGATCGTCTGCAGGCTAAAAGAAGAAACTACTACTAGAAGAAGGCTGCCATCTTGTGGTTAACTCTAATATAACGCCTTAAATTTTGTCTCTTTTTTTCTAATACAACGGTAGTTTAGGTTTCCTTTTGGTTAAAAACCAGCTCTTGTTATTGTATTATTCCTCAGTTAAGTTAAGCTGTTTTTCAGCTCTTGGTGCGATTTAAAAAAATTATTAATACCTTTAACTTGCTCACTGGGGGCTTTAAAACTATTAGGCTAAGCGCGATTTTCTGTTGCTATGAAACAACAAAGATTATGAAAATCACTATACAAGTAAAAACACAAATTTCAGTGTCGTGAACAAGTAGCTAAACGACAGCTCTCTTAAAAAGGTAAATAATATACAAAAATCTATTTGCGATTGTAAAATCAAGTGATCCATTACTACCACAATTTACATAATGTTGCTATGCGAGTTCTTTAGCAAAGTGGTTTGTGGACTTTTATCTAACTTTTGGGGAAACTGGAACGTTGTTTAAAAATGCTGTTGAAATTAACATATATATATATATATAGGCCTATGTAAAATGAATATACAGTTTTAAGAGTCTCCCCTCCCTAACATTCAAGTCATTAGGGGATCAGACCCCACAGAAGGCCTATGAAGTGAATGAAGGAGGTCTGCCTTAATGCCTTGCCAGGTAAGTTTCTTTCCCTCGCTGTATTCACTCACACACTTTCCCTCTGCATCACACACACACAGGACGCAGAATTTCCACATTCCAGCCGGTGTTGTGTCTATCAGGACACGCCCAGCGCGCACACACACACACACACACACACACACAGACTGTACAGTAGAGAGCGATGGTACTGCTGCTCTAAGCGCTTTGTGTTGCGGTGATCTGAATGAATGACAGCTCCACCAACAGCTCACAATGATGACTCCTGAAGGTAAGCGGCACTTTTAACACTTTACTGTTGTTCTGGTACGATTGCGTCCATTGTATGAATTTGAATAAACTTAAAATTGCTTCGTTAAAAAACTTTGTACATGAAGAGAGCACTAGAGATGACTAGTTTATGAATAATAAATGTCTTGACCGTTTCTGCTTTGCAGTCATAAAATCGGCCTGTGTTTTGTATTGATTTATTGTTGTTTTATGTTGTTAAGCAGACGCATTGGCTCGAGTAAAATAAAAGATCCGCTATCTGAGAGGAAACTGCTGGAACTGGGTGTAACAGAGCACATTGTTCTGCCGTGAGATCATAGGATAGGTTTGATCATACCCATCGCTTTAAACCATTAGAAAAACTTTCTAGTATGCATATCATATAACATGCCCCCCTTTCCTGACTGTTTAGTTGGAACAAACCTGGCTCCAATTGTACCTTTAACCTCAAAGAATCGATCTTCCTTGCACAATATAGGCTATGGATAACTCAATCAGCCAAAATAACTGTCATGGCTTTAAAAAAGTTTTTTTATTTTATTCCACAGATCTCATTTTTAAGTGCCCAAATGTTTAGTACTTTCTCTTTTTAAGTGAACTCATGTTTTCAGGACTAGTCCAGTTACATCTATAAATAATAAATGATTGAAACCCTCAGCTCCTCTCTCCTCACAAAGACTGGAATTGTTTTTATTAATATTTAGTTTAAAAAAAAGCACAGTCATAGCTGAAAGGATCTAGTTGTTTGTTTGGGTCAAGGTTTCTGTGATGGTCCGGTTTAGGCTTACAGGATAGAAAATATCATTAGCTCATTATCAAACAGTAGAATCCATCGTGATTGAAAAACAAACCTGTCTGCGTGTAAGAGAGATCAAAATTTAGGTGATTGTTTTGTTGAACTTAAGCCAATATTGTTTCTTTCCAGTGGTAGACCTATTGCTTAAAATAAAGAATTTAGAGCACATTATGAAGGACTTAATGCAGGTGTGGACCTCAAATCTCAAAACAGTGATACTCCATTACCTATTATTACTTCATTGCATGGTTCATTTGTATTAGTTGTTTTTCTGTATTAATCTAGATTTATGATGTTCGTCACTGGTGCAGATGACACAGCCTTTTAATTTCAGTGACACAGAAAATCTTTCGGCCGGTGTTGGGTAAACAAATAGCAGTGATGATATCTGAACTCAAATGAGTGTTTCAGCAGTATTGAATGGAAGGCTGGATTGGCCTGGTTCCTCATCCCTCGTTCCTGTTGTGGATAGTCACTGTGTTGTCAGGGGGTTGCACATTCCACTCCCATTGTTTACATCAGGAAAGTCTGATGCCAGGCCTATACTTGCGGGGGAACGAAAACATGTACAGTCCACTGCACAGCAGGGGAAAAGATGTTGGAGCAAAGTTCTCTTCAAGATAACAGAAGAAGAATTCACTTTTTGTGAAACTAATCATACTTTTGTTTTTTACCAGTAGTTTAAAAGTGTGGTTTTTACTAATAAAAGTAGAACATAATCAATAGTTTTTAAGGATATATTGTTGTACATGCAGTCAGTGATTACTGTCACTAATCTGTGCATACATTTATGTTTCCATAGCTTTAGAAATTGTTTTACACATGAACAGCAAAGCACTTAGTTACTCAGCCATCAAGGGATGTGAGTGATAGCCTATATTTGTTCAGTTCCCAACCAACCGTGAGCTGCATGGTTGCCAGATAAGATGTTTCTCTGTAAAGTGTGGACTCCTGAGCCCCGACTCACCTCATCGCCATGCCAACTCCCACACAAATGACAACAGTGCAGAGCCCCAGCCATGTTGCTATGCTGCTCAACCTGAGCGAGCAGATCCCTGGAGATCAAGCTCGAACATAACAGAATATATTAAGAGTGCATGTTATATTTTACTCTTAAGATGTAGAATCAGATAGCATGAAATCTGTAAGTCATTTCTTGGTTGACCGTGTAGCACTTTGTTTGTGTTTTAGTGGTCCGACCTGTCAGCATCTCTTATCATCTTTGATGTACATTGAAACGTTCAATGTTATTGACACTATCAATATAATTGACAACCTTTTGAGTCCTCCACCCTAAACCTCACCACTTCTCAAAGTTTCAACATTTTAGTAAACATATATAAATATTGTTATATATTTATTGTATATTTACAAGATACAGGAGATTCCCTTATATGTGTAGACTTTAAAATGCATGCAAATTTTAGAAATCACATAATATAGAATGTCAGATGTTAGTACTTTTTTTTAAAGATTTATTTTTGGCATTTAATTTAGATAGAACAGTAGGTCGACAGGAAGCGAAGTGGGTGAGGGAGAGAGAGAGAGAGTGGGGGGGGGAGATCGGGAAAGGTCCGCGAGCCGGGACTCGAACTCGGGACGTCCGAAGCACAAAGGCGCTACATGTCAGCGCACTGCCCACGAGGCCATAATTCAGTGTTTCTTAATGACAAATGTTCTTAAGTACCTGCAGTGATGCTGAAATAAAAGCCAATAAACAACAAGATTAATACATTATAACAAATTAGATATTATTTATATATTGTATATTATAAATTATATGCATATTATATTAATTATATATCATTTTATTCATAATTATAAATATCATTTTATATATTTATTAAAATATATATATTAATTATATTACAATAATTTATTTAAAAAATTGCTTTCCCACTGCAAACAAAATAAAATGTAAAAATTATTAAATAATATTTAAAAATTTAAATAAAATTACGGAATTCTTTGAAAATAATTGAATGGAACCAGGATTTCACATAGAACATTATAATGTCAAATTATTTAAATGCACTAAGTAAATGTGATGGCACACATAATAATACAATAAAATCTTATTAGTTATGAGGATTTGTAAACATTAGTACAGTTCTAAAACTATGTTTTAATACATAGTTTTAATAAATGGATGTTTCAGGGGTTTTTTTCATGAGTGTTTTGTCATTCCATTTGGTGCCACTCATGATCATGCCACACTTCACTGTTTAAATATGATAAGTGTGAAGTTATTTCTAATCCTTTTTTGTTGTTGTTGTTACAGGACAGGTCTTTTTATGCTGGTTTTGGCTTCTCCAAATGCTGCATGTGACTGAAGGAAGCGCTAAGGAATGTGAGTGTCCATCTGCCAGCATTTTGTCTCACTTTCCATCTGAGGTAACCAGTGACACTTGCTGCTTGAACTACTCAGGATCCACCTTCAACCAGGTTCCCTGGGCGGCTTTTTTGTCGCATGCACACCTGCAGGTTTTGGACCTGTGTAACTGTAATATCAGTCACATTGATCACAGTGAGGTCGGTGATGCTGTCAGTTCATTGAGGGAGCTGTATCTTGGCCAGAACAGACTGACATCTCTGCCAGATGACTTCCTAGCTAAAGCCTATAGTTTGGAAGTGCTGGATCTGGGAGAAAATCATCTGAAACATCTACCCGAGCAGTTTCTGCAGAGCTCGGACAAACTGCGAGCGTTGATCCTGGGATGGAACCAGCTGAGCGCTCTGCCTCATTCAGCGCTTAAGCCTTCGCTAGAGCATCTGGAGCTCATCGGAAACCCCTGGGCCTGCACATGCTCGCTGTTGGAGGGCCTTCAAGGTGGTCCACACATCAACTCCAGCAGCCTTCAGGACCTCGTAGGTAATCTGACCTGTGCCTCTCCTCAGAATCTCGCAGGACGGACTGTTTGGTCTTTGCAGACGAATGACGTGTGCCATTTGGCCAACCTGACTGCTCTCTTCATCCTGCTTCCCCTGTTCCTCCTCCTCAATTTGGTGCTCTGCTGGTGCTGTGGGACGAAGAAGAAGAGGAAAGATAGCTCATCGTTCAGCCCGTCTCGCAAAAGATCCAACAACTCCCATTGCAATGGACGGTGGCCACATGCCAAGCTGCCAACTGGGGAGTCAGCAGTGTTTGTAGACGGTGGAAAGGAGGTCATACTGAAGAACCAGCTGATGCTTCAGCCCTCGTCCAACTTGTTGGACAGCACTCGGGATATTTATGAGGAGGTGGAGATCAAACTGGGCTCTGTAGACTCACTGGCCCCTCTGCCGTCCGCTTGCTCCACAGAAGGGACCGTGGGAAAGCAGGACCTGGACACGGTGAGTGTGAGTGAAGTGATGAAGGACTCAGCCGATCGGGAGAAGGCATACCTGACCCAGTCCACTGAATACTACAGCCTGGTTCTCGGGATTGAAATCGAGGACTCCGATCATGGAGAGTATGAGAGTGTGGACCTCTCGTGACAGTACAGGAAATGGTGCATTTGACTGAGATACTCAGAGATGCAAGCAAGTACACTGGAGTTTGGGGAAGTTTTCTTGGTCAAATTTCATGGGCGAACCCAGTCCTTCCAGTAAGAATCCGCAAAGAAGAAGAGGAGTTTTGTGTGACGGTGATACCGACTGCTCATGTTGATCACAACTTGCCTCGCTGACCAACTCAAAGCTGCTTGGTTTGAAAGTGACATCTGCGTGAGCAGTTTTTTGCTAATGTGACTGCACCTTCAGTAAGAATGTTTCCCCTTTGGTTGCAAATGCACAGTGAACGTTGCTGTTAAAGGAAGTCACTGCGCCATGTGAAGCCATTACTTTTGCATACAACGTGAATAAATTACTGTACTGATAAAGTGTCAAATGGAGCTGTTTGCAGACTCCGTCTGTTGCCAAGATAAGCTATCATATAGCTGTCCCCTGGATATTTTCATTATATTGAGATTTTTATATCTTCGTCCTCTACTGTAATTTAGATGGGAAGTTTTATTATTGTAATATTACTTTGTGTTTCACATTCAGTTACAGTGTATAGAGTCAATGTAAAATGTATTTGGTGTCACATACAACTTATATATCATCATGAAGAGGAAAAGTAACAGTAGAGAGCAAGAGAATATTAAACAGAACCACAGTTCAGCCTCTGGTCTTTATCTTGAGTAATCAAATCTGCTCAAATTTGATGTATGATGGACTAACATTTCTTTCCTACACAGAATTTTGGAGGGTTACTGTTTATGTAATTATGTAAATGTTGAAAACAGTGATTATTTAGTCAATAATGTCTAGCCTGTTTCCACAGATGGCTTCAGCTGATATAATCATTATTTTGGCTTTGTTAATAATTAATGTATTTTTAGTTAAAATTCAACATAAACAGCTGTACTAGTCAAATGAAGTGGCTTTTAGATAAGATCAGACTGACTCGGCAAGTAAACTTTAACATAAGCAGATTTCAGTGGAAAGCCTAAATAAAGCAGGAGAGGTTATGTACACCATTCAAAACAAGTAACACTCAACTTTTACCTATAAAATGACTTATAACTGTCTTTTTGTTGATTGAAATAAAGCTGAAATAAAATATAAATATTAGATGAAAAATGAAAACTTTAAAAACTTAAAATGAAAATGAGAGATGTTGCCGTGGCAATGAAATAAAATAGGTTTAAGCTGAAGTACTAAAATTACTAAAACTGAAATAAAAATGAATTAAAACTAATCAGTAATATTTAAAAAAGCTAATAAAGATAAGAGAAGTACATGAAAGATAAAATAAAATAAAAATATATAAGAAAATATAAAAATAATATTAAATACTATAACAGTATATAAGTAATATACAATAACACTGTCCATGTCTATATGACATAACGATAGAACAAACCTAGTACAATTTCTAAGGTCGGCAACAAAAAGGCCAGAAAAGAGTGATGGTCAAACAACACACGCAGTTTTTGTGCATATGAGTTACACTGGACTTTCTGTATAAATGTATTATGATAACTTGTGACATCATCAAACAATCCTAAAAATTAGAAATTATATTTCATTGTTGGCTTCAAATAAATGCTTTTTCACATAATTGTTGATTTGCATTTTTTTTAGACTGATTTTTAACTCTTTCAGTGTTAGCTAATTGGACTACATGCTCTAATCATTGGTTGTTTAACTGAAATTGCGAAAACATTTCTTAATTACACTCAATCCTAAGGGACGAAGTATGAAATGAATATAGCCGTTCCAGAGTCTCACACTGGCCTTCACTAGATCTGCTTCTGTGTCCCCATAATGACCCAGCCCATTCATTAGTGGCTGAAATCACTCCGCAGTAATGGAAATCTAGCTCTGATTTCCTCCTGTGTGGGAGTTTGTAATTATAGCATTGGGTTACTCCATCCAGTAAAACCTGCAGCGCCTTAATTGCCTCACAGGCATCTCTACCTGCCTGCTGTGGGACAGAGTCTTATATTTTGGGCTCTGTGCTGGGCACTTTACAGTTGTGAAATTTCTATTTTTAAAGCTTGCCTGAACAGACACAATTACAACTGAGAACAAAAACTTGTTCTTTTAGAACAATGCAATTATTTAAACCATCACTGCAATTATGAACATGCCCTAATAACATATAAATCATTGTCAAAGTTTTGCAATTTTTTAGCAAAGACATTGATTTAGTGATTACCAGAAAGGTTTTGCTCAAACAAAAATGTAAAATGATGTTTCCTGAAAAACCTTCAAGCCTCTCAAGAGATGAATTTTTTGAATGACAATTTGTTCCTTTAAGAGCAAAAAGTGATAATATATTATTGGCTTTTACTGATTCATTTGTAATTTTTAAAAAATATATTATATATGTTTGACTATTGTCTTGATGTGTTTTACATGTATGATTCTTACCTAATTGAATTCAGCTGGAAAACAAGATATGTAAACAATGTCTCAAGGGGAAGTCTGGGTTAAACAAAACATGTGATCAAGCTTTTGCTTTATTTAACAAGGGAGGGAAGGGGTGTTCAGCTTGTATGAAGTGAACTGAAGTGCTGTGGTGGGCCTCCTAAACTGGAGTAACTCCGTACTTTCTTTTCCTTATAGTGTCTACTGCCCCCTAACGTTTGCTGAAAATCTGTATATAGATAAAAAATTATTGTAGATAGATATATTTTCTCTTTTCCCTTAATTAGACTGTTTGGTTGGATATAAAGCATCTCTAGTTGTATAACTTGTTTTGGGTGTTTTTGTCGATGAGCAGTTCACGTGTGAATGGTTTATAACGGTGATATGAAAGAGGATTTATAACACTGCTATTTACCAGTTATGTAAATATGTTTGCACTTGATATCATCTGCTATTATAATTACTTATGGCTTATGGCCTTTCAAGAAATTCATGTTTTATTGCATATGCCATGTCTAAGAATTCCTAAATCCTTTTAATGCTTGTTGTTATTTCATATTAATATTAACATGCATCACACTCTTAAAAATAAAGGTTATTTTTAGTGGCATCTATGGTTCCATGAAGAACCTTTAACATCCGTGTAAACTTTCCGTTGCACAAAAGGATTCTCAGATCATTAAAATGTTCTTCACACTAGGATGAAAAGTGGTTCTTTTAAGAATTGTTCACTAAAGGTTCTCTGGGGAACCAAAAATGGTTATGGAATCACTGTAAAAAGAGAAAAGAAAAAATACAAGTTTTTTATTATTATATACAAAGAACTTGAAAGACAATTTGCAAAATGAATACCTTGTCATAAATTATAACTATAAACGCACAGTAATCATTCATAATGATGAGACCTGTGTGAAACTGACATTGACCATAAACATGTTCTTTTAAACTGGGTTCCCAAACCATAAATCACAGGATGGATTGATAGCTCCACATTAAAGACATATATATAAAGGAGAAAACAAGAGGTGTGATTTCTCTCTAAAAGAAGACGAGCTTGAAGCACTAAGGTAAGAACAACAACAAAAAGACTATTCTATATGACAAATGTGTCACAGAATTGTGAAAACTTCTTAATTTTTTGGAGTGTTTTTCTAGTATTCCACCATGACGGTATCCTACACGCTCAAGGTGGCCAATGCTAAGTTTGGAGGCTTCACGAAGTTACTCTTCCGATGGAAAGGAAGCATTTACAAGCTTCTATACAGAGAATTCCTGGTCTTCTGTTTACTGTACAGCTTCATCAGTATTCTATACCGGTATCATGACATTCAAAACATTAATAATCCACATTTTTTACAATTTCACATTCTTTTGGCTGAAGATTTTTATCCAAAGCAAATTATAAGCGAGCAACGTTTTGAGTGCCAAGTCATAAGAACATGCCACTTTTTGTAATGCCAGTACAGTTCATACGGAAAGGCCAAGTTTTAAGGTTAGTTAGAAAACTAATTTAATGCAAGTGATATGTAGAAAGTAGAGATACTTCAGATATTGGACTTGGTTATTCAAGTGCACATATGAAGAACTGTTGTCCCTCCAAAACTCAATCAATCCATGTTGCATCTTACAGGTGTGTCCTCAATAACGAACAACAAGAGGTGTTTGAGCGACTTGCACGCCATTGCAACAAGTTTGCTAAACTCATCCCTATGTCATTTGTTCTTGGTGAGCATAGATGTTCTGACCATAGCAACATGACATTACTAACTCTTTGGGTTCCTTGCACTAAGTTAAACTGGTCTGTGGTGCTTGTTAGGGTTCTATGTCACCCAGGCGTTTCAGCGTTGGTGGGGTCAATATACAAGCTTTCCCCTGCCAGACAACCTGATGATGGTCGTATCTGGAAATGTCCACGGCACAGATGAAAGAGGCCGTCTTCTGAGGAGAACTCTGATGAGGTATGCAAACCTGTCGTCGGTCCTCATCCTGCGCTCCATCAGTACACGAGTACGCAAGAGATTCCCAGCTCTGGAGGACATTGTGGAGGCAGGTAAGAACTTGTTTGGGAGGAATAGAAGTACTGGATTACTTTTCAAGGTGTTTTCAACAAATCGCTATAATAAAGTATGGAACCTTTGCATTGTTTTCTACAGACTATATACTCGGTAATGCTAATTACACAAAACTTTCTTCATACAGGCACAGAAAGTAGCTATAACTTGCAGTTCAGTAAGTGAGTCAGACAATGATTCATTAGCTGTTATGATGTATTTAATTCAGTTAAGGATTTGTATGTTTTTGATTCACTAAAAAGAACTTTACTTCACATTATCCCGTGACCGTAGACTGGACAAGTGGTTTGGAGAATCCATGGAGGTGTGGTAGCATTGTACATTTTTAATTCACTAGAAAGGATCATCTCATAAGATCCAGTTGTTCATGAAGCAGCCTGCTAACAATTTTATGATTCATTAGCTGTTATGATGTATTTAATTCAGTTAAGGATTTGTATGTTTTTGATTCACTAAAAAGAACTTTACTTCACATTATCCCGTGACCGTAGACTGGACAAGTGGTTTGGAGAATCCATGGAGGTGTGGTAGCATTGTACAAGCATTGTACATTTTTAATTCACTAGAAAGGATCATCTCATAAGATCCAGTTGTTCATGAAGCAGCCTGCTAACAATTTTTAGTTCTCAGAACGTTGTGAAAACACACATATAATGTTCTCTGTTGGCTAGCCAGGCAAGTCTTCTTTAGGTAAATCCCCAAAAAAACCTGTTAGTTTGGTGAACATTTCCCAGAATGCTCTTATTTGGTTCCCCAAAAATGACCAAATGGGAACATTAGGGTAAGGTTCTGTGTTTGTTGGTATTTATTTGTGAAGCTGCCAAGTCTGGTCACTTTGTGTGTTTTTAATTCACTAAAAAGAAGTGGCTCATAAGAATCTTTTATTTGTGAAGCGGACTAAAGTTGTGTTGAATGTTTTTGATTCACAAAAAAAAAAATCAGTTGATAATTATTTATTTGTGAATCAGACTACTCTGGTCATGTTTTTGCAAGGATAACTCAATAAAAAAGACATTTCTTGCCAATACATATTAAAAGCAGACTAAGGAAAAATATGATTTCTTTTGACTTGGAGGTGAAGTGGTGCAGGAAATACTGAGCCACTGGTATGTGCCATTCCAATTTACTTGATTCCGAAGAATATATCTATCATAGCATGTCATTGTCTT